CCGGTTGGTCGGATGGTCCGGTCACGGTTGCGGTAGCGGTTGCGGTCGTACGCGGGAACAAGGGAAGGGAGGTAGGTAGGGGTGTTTAGGGCTTATTTTTATTTTATTTTGTTCATTATTATTCAAAGGGGAATGGTTCCCCGTGAGTATTGGTTGGTTTGGTTTGGTTTGGTTTGGTTGGTACTTACTTTGTTGTGAGTGGGTGTGGGAGGCGCGTAACTACGTAAACGAAAACGAAAAACGACGAATGACAAGATGGTGTCCCTGGGGGGGTATATGTATTTGATGTATGTAGGTAGGTAGGTGAAAAGGTTGTCATGGTAAGTAAGGTGTAAGCAAGTAAGCAAGTTGTAAGCGCAAGTATGTTGTGTTGGTTGGATTTCGCGGTGCTGGTGCTGGGTTTGCGGCGCTGCGTAGACTATACTTGGTAGGAATGGGAACGGTAATAGTAACAGTGATGCTGCGAGTCGAAGTGGAGCGGCGAGAGTGAATCGATGGATAGATGACGTATGGCTGTGGACACAACGGCGTGTTCAAGAATAGTGCAAGGGGTATAATATCGTGCTCATTATAAGCTATATAGTTGCCTTGTTATAGCTATCGTCATCCGTCATTATCGCGCTCCAATATACGTTGCATACGTACCGACGTAGCTTAGTCTCTTTCTTTTTTTGTACAGACACAGACACTGGCACTGGCACTGACACCGATGTGGAAATGCGTCATGAGCCTCTTTCCATGTGTGTGAATATATGTCTATACACCTATGTGTATGTGAAGGACGAAAACACACATAACTAACGCAGCCACCTCTCCCTCGCCTCCCCACACATCCCCATGTATATAGGTATACATTGATCCCCACTACTTTTGCGCCAATAGCGTGAGCGTTAGCGAATTTTTTTTTTCTTAGATTTACTCCCCCCTTCTTGCAGTTACCTTGGTCGCGCAACCTTTTTTCCATTAGTTTTGCAACAAGATGGGCAGAGGGGGCGAATTGAAGCATATACATGCATGCATGCATGCAAATAAAGGGTTTGGCAGGTAAGCCAGGAAAAAGGCGCAAAAGTGAAGAACACTCCAATTCCTCCTTTCCTCGATTTCCTTTTTGAGCGAAAAAAAAGAGTCAAGACGAGGAGTTCTACACTACATACATACATACATACATACACCTACATCTATGTAGTCGTCCGTGGTATCTCCCCAGAAACGGTCTTCTCCTTACTCCCCCACTCATAACCATCAAGTCTAGTTTACGCCAAGTCTTACATGCGTGTAGCGTGTCCATGTCCCTTTGTCCGTCGTTGTCAGTGTCGGTGTGGCTGTACAGGCTAAACCAAGTCTACATGGCGATCGACGGCAGCCAAGTGAGGCGGACGACCAAGAACAATAGCCAATGTGCAGGGCAGGACAGGGAACACACATACACACACGCGACACGCGATGGAAGGATTCACGGGGGTATTTTCTTAACGTCTATGGCATAGTGCGTCATTTTTTTCTAGGTGGGGGGGGGCACTCCTTTCATTATCTTCTTTGTTTTCTTTTCTTTGCTGCTTCTCTGCTTGTTCTTTGCTTTGCTTTTGCTTGTCCAGGAGCATGGACAACGGGGCATACATGCATGTAGACAGATAGACAGTCAGACAGCTAGACACACTTGGTTAGTTGAGCATAATACTGGTGGGAGAAATAAAAAAGTGGGGATAATCAAGAAGAATGAGAGAAGGAGAGGGCCATAAAGAGGGGTCTCAAAAAACTAAACTATAAACGCTAGCCAATGTCCATGGACCGGGCCTGTCCTATTGTTTATGCTTGGTTGCTTGGTTGGTTGGGAGGAGGCAGTTTTTTTGTTTGTTTTTTTGCTCTTTCGTGTTGGGTGAGCGGGTAAGACGGGTCAGGGTTGGATGGTAGGGATGTGCTGAGATATAATGGCTACGTTTCGCCGTTATTGTCGGCGTTATCATGGGTGGGGTAAGTAAGTATGTGAATTCGCATCTTCTTTTTTTTTGCGCGACTTTCCCAAGTCATTTCGTCTCGCGACTTTGGTCCACGGCCATGCTTCCCCTACTCATTTCTCTCTTTTTCTTTTTTCTTTTTTCTTTTTTCTTTTTTCTTTTTTCTTTCAACCACGCTTTTCTTCCCCTGTAATGATGAGATTGGTTTTTTTGTTTTTTTCTAACTTCTCCTCAGCCCTATAATATCACTCGCATATACATAAATTGCGCGATCCTCCCCCCCCCCCATAACCCATGTTTCACTCTGTACCAGCACACCCCTGGCTGTCACTCTCGAGTCTTTGTCCCTGTCTGCGTTCTTTCTCATTCTTCACAGTCTTTCTTTGCTTCTTCCACATTCGTCTAGACTCTACTTACCCATACAAATGCTTACCCCGTCTCTCCCCACTCCTTTACCACACCGACACGATCGAGAAGATGAAAGTACCCCAAAAAGCAAAGAAAGCCCATAATGCATACATGCATGCGTTACTTTTTTTTTGCTTTTGCCAAAACACGGAAAATCAAAACGGGGGAGAGCATATGCTGCGGTACTTGATTTCCCACTAACAACAGCCGTACACCGGATTGCAAAGTCGTACATTCCCTGTACACCTGTGTACACCGAGTGCGTGCGTGCGTGCGTGTGTGAATGTGTCTGGCGCCGACCGCTCCCATCCACTCACACACCTCACTCTCTCTACTCTCGCACTTTAACACGCTATTGGCTCGGCGGCGCTGTCCCCTCAAAAAAAAAGGGTGAGACATAAACTGGCAAACGCTATGTACCTAGCGCAACCAACGAAGGCACTCGAGGAAAACCTCGGAGTACCTCCCGTAATATGTAGTACGATACATGATCACATGTACCTCACTTCAAAAGGCCCAAAAAAACGCCGCTCTCTCTCTCTCTCTCTCTCTTTCTAGTGTTCTGTACACGGAATAAAACCTAAAACTTGCACATTACAGTAGCGCAGGTACAAGCGTGCAGTGCGGTGTTGTAAAGGCAGCGCTGGCTGACTGGCGCAGTCGTACGTGTCCCCCCTCGTCCTTCTCTGTGTCCCCTCCATGCTCCTTGGTTGGCCAGCTACCATACACCTAGTTCCCTACAACCCGATACCCTACCTACATACCATACATAGTTAACTCTATCACTATTGTGGCTGTGTCTCGTCCATACTAGCCCTCCCCCTCCCCCCCATCTGGCCATTGCATGCAGCCGGCGTTGGCGTTACTTACGTACAC